CTACTTGGGAGGTGGAGGCAGGAGACTTGCTTGAGCCCAGGAGTTGGAGGTTGCTGTGAGCTGTGATGCCATAGCACTCTACCCAGGGGATTAGCTTGAGGCTCTGTCTCAAAAAAAAAGAAAAAAAGACACTGTGTAATAAATTACATCAGATAGGATGGAAGGAGGAAAAATGAGAATGAAAGAGTTAACACTTCTGTTTACACTTTCTGTTTATTGTTATTTACCAGAAGAAAGCAATAGTAAAGTGAAGGTTTACCGAAAAATGTTTCAAACTTCTGCATCTGGAAACATGACTCTAAATTTCACCTAAGTCACTTGAATTGATTGGAAGTAGAAAGTGTTGCCTCTGAATTTTAATATTTTATCTCCTTCCCTTTTCTCTTCAGCCCTGATTTCATCATGGCCCAACCATTCTGCCTCTTACAAATACCCCAGTAGATGCTAGCATTTTCCCAGGTCTGCCACCTGTATCCAAGAAGTACTCCCGCTGAAGCCGTCTTCAAGCTATAATCCAAGAGTCATGGTTTCAATTTCTTACTCTTCTAGATGATTCAGTTACTCTTATTCCAGTTCTTTTGGAAGTTGTACCTGTGATTTAAGCATTTGAAGAAAAGGGAGAAAATTAATCCTGGAGAATCAAGAGCTGGGTAGCAAAAATTTCTAAATTCACATGCCTACAAGGATGCAGAATGGATTAGAAATTCTGGCGAGAGAGAGCCCCCCAAACCACGATAAAACAACCACTAAAGCACCATTTGTTGGTCTGTTCCTAGGCTTTGTGCATGTTGGTGGAGCCCTTCATGGAAACAAGGAGGCAGGTTCAAAGCCTGCCTCTTTGCCAGTTTATGGTTTGGGGCATCAGTTTTCTCAGCTGTAAATGACAATAACAGCGTCTAATTGTCAAGACTATTGTAAGGATTAAGTTACATAGAAGGGAGTAATCAATGCTAACATTTATTTTTAAAACATCATCTCATTGTATCCTGCATTAGCCTTGTAAGGACAGAAGTGGCTCAGAGAAGACAGTGACCTGCCTAAAGTTACACAGCTAGGAAGTAGGATTGACCCGGATCTGCCTGGTTTTGGTACTCATTATGACATACTGCCTCACCACAAGAATCTAAGGTGTTCTTTTTAAAATAGATCTTTTGGGCTGGGCTCAGTGACTCACTCCTTTAACCCTAGCACTCTGGGAGGTTGAGACAGGAGGATCCCTTGAACTCCGGAGTTCAAAACCAACCTGAGCAAGAGTGAGACCCCATCTCTACTAAAAATAGAAAAAACTAGCCGGGTGTGGAGGCCCATGTCTGTAGTTGCAGCTGCTCAGGAGGCCGAGGCAAGAGGGTTGCTTAAACCCAAGGAGTTTGAGGTTCTGTGAGCTACCATGACACCCTCTACCCAGAGTGACAGAGTGAGACCCAGTCTCAAAAAAAAAGGTAAAATAAAATGGGTCTTTCTTTCTTTTTTGAAGCACACTCCTAGTTTAAAGCATGGTGAAACTGAAAAACATTATCTGGAGATCTCCCTAAAACAGACAATAAAAATAGAAAAGAGTAACATAAGACTACAAACCCACTTTAGACTTCTCTTTCATAGAAACAGCTGAAAGATAAGGCACATTGTTAAAGGGCTTTAGGTGGTGGTATATCTTAGGAGAGTGAGTCATCTACTATGTACGTACCTTCTGGAGGACACTGACATAGTCCAAAGGACACTCAGAGTTTGTGTAATAATGACTAAGGATGTTTCTCCCACTATTGCTCATGTCCACCCACAAATGTGAGGGACCATTTGACCATCGGCAATGGCTCCTCTGTTCTCTGCCCACACCTTGCCTAGGAATGTTTTCCAGCATCCTGGCCACGAGAGAGGATCTTTGATTTGCTGTTCCCTACCCAACCCTCAGGTCAAGGGGTCCTCCATGAGCTCCTTCCCTCATCCCAGACTTTGAGAAAGGAGGGGCGTGACTCACCTTTGCACGCATGGAGAACATCAGTAGTTAAGAACAACAAGCCAGATAGTTAAAATAACTACAAAGCTTCAATAAATAGCTAAAACAATGTGTTTTTGTATTTTGGAATCAAGGGGGAAGCATTTTGCATATATGCGTGAAAGAGTTCCAATATAATATTTAAAGCAGCAAAATGTGGCACCATCCCAGCATAGTAAACCCAGAGACATATTACCATGTTTAAAATATGGCCAAGCTGATGATTCAGGTCACTGGGGAAAAGAGGAATGAGTCAGTAAATGATTATTGGTCAACTAGTTGGAAAAGAAATATTAAAGGCACTTCTTAATTCCTATTTACTTTTAAAATTTAGGAGTAAATTTAAATTTTATAGGTCCAAGACCCATTGACTCAGAAACTCTGGGGTGGGCTCAGGAGTCTGCATCTAGCCCTCCAGGTGATTGTCATGTACTTTAAATGTTTGAGGATCACTATAAAGACTTT